AATTTAACCGCAACACTCCAGCCCCCCCCCCCCCACTGTAATTTAATATGCTCCTCCAAATAATTATAATTGACCCAAAAGGGGGTATATAAAATTAAAATGGAGGAGGGGACTGGATGGGGTAGGGTTACGATTAGAGCTATGGGTGAGGGGGACCTAAGAAACTCTTACCTGTTTTGGAACCCCCTATTCTAAAGTGCTAGCTGTAATATCAGTAACTCACCTGGGAAATTAGGAATAATTTCAAAAATCTGGGTTTTAATAAGTCACAAAATTGTACTCCATGGAATTGTTGTAAAAATAGCAATTTTTGAAAAATATTAGGACAAATTTCTCAAATTACGTCACTGTGACATACGAAAGAATGCTATTTCATGGTTTCATGAGACACTAGCTTTAAGATTTTACACAATTAAGCAATGAACATTGTCATGTGATTTATGACGAACTTCCTCAAAAAATAGGAGTAGGCTTCAATCAGAACTTGTGATGATGTCATCGTATCATTCTTGGATTGGTCAATTTGAATTCTACCAGTAATTTGATTCATATTTTATATAAAACATTTATAACATCCCCAGCCTTATGCCTTTCATAAGATAGCTCAAAATCACGTGTGATGGCGAAAAGACATACAAGTCTTCCAATGGAAACGTCACTGATGAAAATCAAAAACTGCCAGGATCAATGCAAATTAACAATCTCTGGCTATATATGTGCTATGAGATCAGAGGACAAGGTCACAGGTTAAAAAGCGTTATTAAAATGTTTAGACAATGATGCTAAGATACGTCCAATCTTGTCTATTTTTGTGTTTTGTGTACAACAATTAGCCTTGGTAGATCTAGGGTGTGCATGTGTGTCGGGGGTGGGGGTGGTGGCTCAGGAACCTCCTCCCTGAAATGGGAAAAAATAGTTCAAAGAAGTTACATGTGAAAGAGTTTCTTAAGGCCCCCTCACCCATAACCTGAATCTTAACCGCAACACTCCAGCCCCCCCCACTGTAATTTAATATGCTCCTCCAAATAATTATAATTGACCCAAAAGGGGGTATATAAAATTAAAATGGAGGAGGGGACTGGATGGGGTAGGGTTACGATTAGAGCTATGGGTGAGGGGGACCTAAGAAACTCTTACCTGTTTTGGAACCCCCTATTCTAAAGTGCTAGCTACGGGCCTGATATCGTCAGGGAGCTGTAATATCAGTAACTCACCTGGGAAATTAGGAATAACCAGCCTCATGCCGGCTTCAGTAAGGGGCTGGAACATCGTGTGATATGCCCTGTAGGTAGCCGGCGACCCGTGTATACATATAATAACTGGTCCATCAGGAGGTCCCATGTCAGCGAACACCATAACAATCGTGGTATCCAAAACACTTAATTCGACCTGCATCAAAAACTCAGACGTCGAGTCACTGCCACTATAACGAGAACTTCGTGAAGCCGCCATATTTACATGAATGAGAGTTCCAGACTCTAACCCCAAATCACGTTACCGTGTCATGTCCTTACCGATGGCCTTGTATACACACGACTTACAGCTAACTGGAAGTGTATCGAAGTTCAAGCTCACAGTATCAAAGGTGAAATTTATGTGATTGATCGGGTGATAAAATATCGCGATCTTTCTGAACGAATTGATAAAGTGTTAATTCGGGGTCACATTCCAAAGTCTATAGTCACACCTTTAACACTGGATCTTATTGGCATTTTGAAGGAATAATACGATTTCAAATACAAGTTTTTTTCTTTCGTTCGATGCCCCAACGGCAATATAATGGACATTTTCTCCGGAAGTCAAAGGTGGTCGCTCACGTCTTCGACTCTAGAGGTCGCTATACCTTCCATGCTCAATGCAGCATTATCTGCTCATTTGGTACACGTTTATAAGTCCATATCTGGAATCTCCAAAAAGTAACATCTGTAGGTTAGCTGAACTTCTACCAGAGATGTGCCTCCACTGGCATCTCTATACACATCTCCTCTCCAAAGTTTGGTTGGGATCAACCCTATAGCTTCAGTTTATTGGAGTCCTCAGATTATGTGAAATTTTTTATGAAATGTTAATTATCATTAACATACATTTTTTACATTCAGGTAACATTGATAGTTTCCAAATAAGGTATATGAACAGTGCTGTACATACCACCTTGTTAGAGGTCAATAAATCTTGCCGAAACACATCATTTGAACAAAGTCACATTGATCTACTACTACCCGTAATTGCTAGGTTTTCACCGCAGCATTTTATAAAAGCCAAACTATTGGTCCTCCCATCAATTAGCAAAATATCACTTGTGTGTTTATGCAGTTTTGGCAGAACGGGCCAAAGTTCGGCCCAATTAATTAGGGATTGGTCAGTTACTTCGGCCTAGGGGGGGTCGGCAGATTGCATTTTGCCAGCTGTAAATCTCAGTTGACCCACCCCCTATCAAATAAAAAAAAGTGGGTGACCCCCCCCCCCCCACATTATATTTTAAAACTTGAAACATGCTGACCCCCCTAAAAAAACAAAGAAACATTAACAGTTTTGGCTCTGACATGATTACAAAATGTATTATATGTGCATTGAAAATATCATGGTTTGCCATAATTTTTTAGCGTTTGCATTTAATAGACCTTAGGAGGGGAGGCGAAGCATAAAGCCAAAAAATGACTACAGAAAAGGCTGCAGGAAGGAGGGAAATCTATTCTGCTAAAGATAGTAAATAAAAGCAAAGCTGTGGAGTACTTACTCGATAATCGCCCTTATAAGATAGGAAAAGAGGATTTGAATCTACGCGGTTTGAACTCTTTGAAAACTAAGTTGGATTTAAAATATCTTTCATATCTTATAGACCAGGAAAGCTTTACACCCGAAGCACAGTCTGTGCTTATGAAACAAAGGAAACTTTGATTTT